AAAAAAAAAAAAAAAAAAAAAAAAAAAAAAAAAGAAGAAGAAGAAGAAGAAGAAGAAGAAAGCAGAAGAAGAAAGAAGGAAAGAAGAAGAAACAAGAAAGAGAAGAAGACGGGAGAAGGAAGAAGAGGAATGAATAAGAACGATGAAGAAAGAAGAAGAGAGGACACTTCATTCCAGGACACATGGGGGTTCATTCCACTCACTGGGAGCATGGATAGAAAAACAGGTGCCAAGTGCAACAAGGGAAAGGCATCAAAAGACAAAGGAAGGCGCACCCAGAAATACAGTGTACCCTCTGCCAATCATCTGGGGGTGATGTAGAATTGGTTTGTCTGCCATGTCCACATACAAGGGATAGGCAATCCAAAGCACAGAAAGAGAAGCATCCCCCTAAAGCCCATCTTTATTTATTTTTTCTTTTTTCCCCATGAGAAAGACCTCAAAAGGGGGATAATGAGAAAAACACACTACACTTCTTATCCCCTTTTCTTCTGCGTGAGTCATCATCTGAGACAACCCATAACTCTTTTAACTTTTGGGTGGCGGGGGGGGAAACGGGGGGTGGGGTGGGGGGCGAGTGATCTAGAATTTGGTCAATTCTGTTTCTTACATTGAGAAGAAAAGGTTGCCAATCTCTTCAAGATTCTGAAAGAGTTTTCTTCTCAGATATGCCTGGAAGTGTCTTCTTAGACATGTCGCCGCCGCACCGTGGCAAGCAGACCATTCTTGGGTTTCACCACGAAAGCTGCTTCTATGTCCACCTGGGGAATACTTGGCTCATTACCAACAACGCCAAATTCAAAGTGGTGCAGAAGGTGTATAAGGAGGACCTTCATTTCCAACAAGGCAACTCCCTGTCCTGGGCACCTGCGTGGTCCCATGCCAAAGCCAAAGAAGGAGCCTTTGGGATCGGACTGAGAAAAAGGACAGCGATCTTCATTCGATCGCAAAGGTCGTGATATCTCCGCCGTTGACGATGACTTTGTCGATGACAATGAAGTGTCAAAGCGCTCTGGCCGGAACGTCTCTGGGTCAGGATAGACATCTGGATTACGATGGACGCCGTAGATGTTGCAAAATACTGTCGTTCCCTGTGGAATTGCGTACCCTCCCAGTTTCGCATCATGCATAGTCTCCCGTGAAAAGAAACCACCAATCGTATATAACCTCATCGTCTCATGGATCACCTATAAAAAGAGGCAGTGGGCATATTCCAACATTGTCATCAGGAAAAAGCGCGAAAGACAGAAAGCGCGCACACACACACACACACACACACACACACACACACACACACACACACACACACTCTGACATTGTCATCAGGAAAAAGCGCGAAAGACAGAAAGCGCACACACACACACACACACACACACACACACACACACACATACACAATCAGCAGTCATATGTTTGACTTTCTTCCGTTTTTTTTTGTTTTTTTTTTTCTGAAACTTTTCCTGTATGTCTTTCTTTGCGTGCTTTCTTCTACTTCGTTTATCTGAGCGCGCACCTCTAAGAACTGCTAAATAGTCGGGCAGGGGTTGTTTGGAGTCGCCGTAACATCATTAGTGGGGGGCCTGTGTTTGGGGATGTGTGCGGGTTTGGTTCCATTTGTGACGACAGACGTTCATCGGGGTGGCTCCGTGGCTCAGCACGTGTGCGGACGGGAACCAACAGTGTGCGGGTTTCTTCGGTGTTGGATGTGTGGACTGCCTTGTATGTGATCCTCCACTTCCTTGCTGCCCACCACCGTTGCGATGTCATTCCCTGCAGCTTGTCTGTTTGCCGTGTGGTTTGGTTGCCTTGTCAGTGTTGGTTTGTGCCTCGCTGCATTGCTGCCATCCATGTGCGTTGTCTTGCCTTGTGCTTTGCTTGCGTGCCGTGTAGTTTGGCCGCTTTTGCAGCACTCCCTTGTGCTTCGCCGTGTTGTTCCATTGCTGCCCGTCCACTTGTGCTGTTGTTCCTCGCAGTTCGCTTTGGCGCTGTGTATTTGTGCTTCCCTGTTAGCACTGCCTGCCAGGTGCTTCGCTGAGTCGTTGCCTTGCCGTCCTGGTCTGCTTCTGGTGTTGCTTGCGGGCCACATCCACTTTCAACAAGGGTTAAAAAAGTCCACCGAAGGCATCCACTGTCAAGATTCAGCCTGCTGACGAGTCTTTAAAAAAAAAAAAAAAAAAAAAAAAAAAAAGAGAA